ATCTCTTGACCTCGTGATCCACCCGCCTTGGCCTCCCAAAGTGCTGGGATTACAGTCATGAGCCACCATGCCCGGCCTCATTGACCACTCTTAAATGGCCCAAACAAAGACAAGCACTTTGATGATTACTCACATTTGTCTGTATGTTCCTTAAAACGACCACAGAGCAGTGGCCATGGCAGGAGCAGTGCAGGAAGTGACTGTTCTGAGGATTCCACGGAAGAGCAGAAGACACAATTTGAGACTTTGGATCATTAGTTCTTCCATTCTACCTTCCATTTGCTCTGTCAGTTGGTATTTATTGATTTATGTTAATATTTGCTTATTTTCCCCTTCATAAAATAAGTATTGGACTTACAACTGACCCAGCTGACCTGAGAATTGACCTAAAAATCACATATCCGTTGATAACTACTAATCAGTGTTATTGCCCTATCAATTGTTATATGATTCTTAGCCAGAGAGTTAAAACCACTGACCCATTTATTACCCATTCCAAATTAATTAATAGTATTTCTTTCCTTGCCACACATGTTAACAATTAGAATATGCCTCTCTCTCTTCACGTTTAATCATTTAAATCTTTGTTTGATTCTTTCACTGATTCATTGATATTAATATAATCACAATTCATGAACCGTAATATTGAAAGCAAATAACTCTTGATATCTCTAATATCTATCTCATATTTTTTTCAACAGAGGAATAAATTAGATTTCTATTATACTGAATCTCAGAGTTCCAGACACTTAATATTCATCATCCATGACTCAAACGCCACCAGCTGTCATCACTGGCTCAAGCTTGGACCTCATTTTCTTAATTCATGTCTACGTGTTTTTATTGATTAATTTACCAGTTCACTAACAATAAAATAATTACCTAAGAGCCACAAAAACTTGATAGCAAAATCCTTAAATAGCTCTAATATCTGTCTATGTCATTATTACTAACAGCAGTACACCTCTTTCATTAATTAAATTCAATGTTTTCATTAATTAAATCTAATGCTATATATATGCATTAAACAACATAGTGCTTTATATTAATTCCATTTTTACCAATGGGCCAAAGTTTACCTTCAATGATTATATTTAATACTTCTTGATACTGCCACAAATATCTTTTTTAAAAAACACTGAAACCAAGATCATTGACTATCACTCACACTGGTCTCCATACGCCGTGCACAGATGCAACCACAGAGCTTACCGTGAAAAAGGAGCAATAGGGCCAGCTGGAGTGCGTTTATTCCGCGGAACACAGGGCACCAGAGCCGACCAGGAAAGACGAAGACACTATCTGCATTATTCTTTGTGTTCATTCCTCCACTTCTTCAGTCATATAGGTAATTTGGGACCACAATTTATTTTACTTACTCTACATAGCCAGACAATATCAGTCACGCCACTGACACAAACATAAACATTCATTATTATTTATCACTGTCTACAACATCCCTAACTAAAGAAATAAAAAGTTATACCACTTATTCCCTAATGGTACTGGTGTTTTCAATATATACCATAGGCTTTCTTCTCACTCTGCTGCCCAGGTAGAGTGCAGTGGTGTGATCTCGGCTCACTGCATCCTCCATCTCCCAGGTTCAAGCAATTTTCCTGCCTCAGCCTCCCAAGTAGCTGGGATCACAGGCATGCGCCACCATGGCCAGCTAACTTTGTATTTTTAGCAGAAGTGGGGTTTTACCATGTTGCCCAGGCTGGTCTCAAACTCCCGACCTCAGGTGATCCACCTGCCTTGGCCTCCCACAGTGCTGGGATTATGAGTACGAGCCACTGCACCTGGCCGTACCATAGTTTTTCTTGCCTCACAAACTATTTTTATAATTGGACAGTGCTTAGTCTCATCCAACATAATTTATTTGTATATTAGTTCAGTGGTTCCTTCATTGATCCAATTATAATAATAGATCAAAAACTTGTGCTCACAAAGAGCAAAAACACGACCCTCGCGTATTCCTGACGCCCGTCTATAGGATCACTTCCAAAAAGGGGAAAAAAACTGTATTTCTCTTCTGATGGACCTCAGAGTGCCAGATAGGTATTCACTGTCTAAGACCCATCCATTACCAGGAGTCATGATTAATCCAGGATTAGCTCTGGTGCTCTTCATTCATTGTTATATTATTTATTACTTTATTAATTCACCATTAATAACTTTTAAACACTGTCACTCACAAAACCCCAAAAGGGGCCTCGGTGTCTCTAATTTGTATATACATCCATCCTCACAATTCCATAGCCCCTCATTATCTTTCGTAATAACACAGGACATGCTTTTCATACAAGCATCCATCAGTAGAACACTCCACATCCATTCCATACTTATCCCTGGGCTACTCATGGCCTTATGGGATTATATGTCATATTTTTTGTTAATACACTATTAACCTTAAAACGAAATACCCAAGATGGAACGAGAACTTTCTTTGAGTATTACTCACATTGGTCCATAGCTTCCAGCACAGAGATGGACCATACAGCTCTTAGCCAGTGAAAACCAGCTTCTGTGCTTCCATTCTGAGTACAGAGCAGAAGAGATGACAACAAAAATGAGACCTTCTCTCCATTGATCCTTGCTTTTCAAATACACCTCAAATTAATGAACGTGTAAACATTTATACTCATTTATACATTCATTAATTTGAGATATATTTCATTTTTTATGAACCACTGGCCAGGTGTGGTGGCTCACACCTGTAATCCCAGCACTTTGGGAGGCCAAGGCAGGTGGATCACTTGAGGTCAGGAGTTAAAGACCAGCCTGGGCAACATGGTGAAACTTTGGACCCGTCCCTGACCCAGAACTTGAATATGGTCAATAATTTATACTGTCTTTCTCATTCAAAGAGGTAACAGGTATTCAAGGTTTCTCTTTAGTTGTTACCAATTTCAGTATATATATATTAATAGTATTTTTTGTCTTTCCACATATTTTTATAATTGGACAATGTTTAACCTTATTTATCTTTTTTTTTCTTTTGAGGCAGAGTCTTGCTCTATCACCCAAGCTGCAGTGACATGATCTCAGTTCACTGCAACCTCCTGGGTTCAAGCAGATTTTTGAATTCCAGGTTCAAGCAATTCACATGCCTCAGCCACCCAAGTAGCTGGGATTACAGGCGCATGCCACCACGCCTGGCTAATCTTTGCATTTTTAGTAGAGATGAGGCTTCACCATGTTGGCCAGGCTGGTCTTGAACTCCTGACCTCAAGTGATCCAACGGCCTTGGCCTCCCAAAGTGCTGAGATTACAGGTAGTCCTTATTCATCTTTATTTGTATATTTATTGATTGGTTATTTCATTGATCCAATTATAAATATAAAATAAAAATTCATGAACATGAAAATCAAACACATATACTTTCTATTTTTTGCCATCTGTCTGTAGGATCATTTGAAACAAGGAATAGACTAGGTATCTTTTGAGACGGACCTCAGAGTTCCAGACACATATTCATTGCTTATGACTCCTGCGCCACCAGTGGTCACCATGGATCCAGGATTGGCCCTTCTTTTCTCCATTATTTTCTACATCATCTGTTGATTAACTCACTCGTTTACTAATAATAACTTTAAACCTAATGATTCACAAAACCCCAAAAAGATATTCCTAATCATTCTGACATTAATATATGTTTCATTATTGTCCCGTTTTTCATATGTGAATTGTCAATGTAATACTTCTGACTCCCATATCTCTCACTAGATACAATTCACCATCTTTGATTATATTACATATGTATATATAGTACATCACATATGTATTTATAGTACTCTTACATAAACCACCCAAAGAAATACAAGAAATCTGACCGTTACTCACATTGGTACCCATGCTCCTTCCTAAGCATGGTGCAAACAGAACACGTGATCATGAAGAAGTCCTCAAATCAGAGCAAGTCTGTCCATTCTAAGGAGCACAGAACAAGGAAGATGATAGCAAAGGGGGCGTATGAACTGTGAATCCTTGCTTCTCACCTACCACTAGTTATCTATACTATCATTATCTGGAGGGTACTTACTTCATTTTCTCTTTAAAGAATGAACAATTTCAAACTTACAATTAACCAAGAATTTGAACACTGTCTATAATTATCCTGTCTATATCACCACAAGCCAAAGAGGGGACAGACATGCACATTTCCTTCTCTTCAGATTCCACTATTCTCAATACATATTAATAGTGTTTCTTGCCTCACCAAATATTTTTTATAACTGGACAACGATTAACCTTACTCATCCTTATTTTCACGTTTATTGGTTTTTATATTAGCCAATTATAAAAACAGAATCAAAACATGTAAACATAAAAACCAAAACCAAACTCATCTTCTATTCCTGATGCCTGTCTAAAGGATTATCTCAAACACAGAAAATCAGCTACGTTTGTTTCTATGATGGACCTCAGAGTTCTAGACACGTATTCATCACGTATGACCCATCACCACCAGCAGTCATCCACCAGGACTGCTCATCTCTTTCTCCATTCATCTCTACCTTGTCTATTGATTGATTCATTAATTCACTAATAGTAATTTTAAGTCTGTATGGTTCAAACAAATCCCAAGAATAACTTTAATATTCCTAATTTGTATACTGAGTCATTCCAACACTGATATACCTCTTTAATGAACAATCCTCAGGTTTTTATATACGCATCATCAATACAATGCTTCATATCATTTCCATATCTTTCACTGGGATGTAATTGGACATCTTTGATAATGTCATACACTTTTTATAATACATTGAGTCCTCTTAATAAGGCACCAGAATGAAGTCGAAAATGTTGACTATTCCTCACATTAGTCTGGCTGAGGCTAACCACGATGCAAGGACAGCACGTGACCATGGAAGAATTTTTCAAGGTGCCCAATTCATCCACTCTGCAGAGCACAAACCACAGGGGAGTTCGGAGCATACAATGGGACATTCTCACACATGATTCACCCTTATTTAGTGAGTCATCTAGGCCATCATTATTTGAAGTTTATTTCATTTTCTCTTAAGAAAATGAGCAATTTTGAACTTGCCGCTGACCCATACAATGTTTAACTTTATTCATCTTTATTTATTCAAATATTTGCTTATTGATTCTCTCATTGGTCCAATTATAAACTAAAATAAAAATGTTAAAAAAGAAAGACCAAAAACAAACTGAGTCTATATTCCTGACATCATACCTATAGAATCACGTGAAACAGACGAAGCTGATTTAGTGATGGACCTCAGAGTTCCAGAAACATATTCATCATATGACTTATATGTCACCAGTAGTCACCATCAATCCAGGATTCTTCCTATTTTTGTCTATGCATTTTCACTTTGTCTAATAATTAACTCATTAATTCACTGATAATAACTTTAAAATCTTTGGTTTTTTAAAACTTAAGAGCTTTGATACTCCTACTCCCTCAAAGAATCGTTATAATGATCGATATTTTCATTAATTGTTCTCCATTTTTCATATATGCATTTTCAATATAGTACTTGATATCTATATGGGTATGTGATATGGATAGATTTGACCATCTTTCATTATATTCCTGTAATATATTGGAATATATTATATAAGGAATATATTCCTATAATATATTCTATTCCTATAATGTATTATGTCTTTTTATAGTATGAAAAGGTATACCTTTTTATAATACATTACATCATAGAAATATATAATATATTCCTACAGTATATTATATTCCTATAACGTATTATACCTTGTTATAATGCATTGATTCCTCTTCAACAAACCACTCAAGACAACAGCTTTGACCATTACTTACATTGATCTGTATGCTCCTTCCTAAGCATGGTGCAAACAGAGCATGTGACCTCAGAGGCATCTTCAAATCATCACAAGTACGTCCATTCTGACCAGTGCAGAGCAGAGTAATAACAAATACGTGATTTTTCATGGTTGATCTTTCCTTTTCACCAATCATTAAACATTTAGGCAATCATTATTTGAAGTATGAATAACTTTGAGCTTGCCGCTACGCCAGAACGTGAATATGGTATATAATTTACACTATCTCTTCATTACTGGCCAAAAAGGTTAGGTATGTAAGGTTCCTTTTTGGCTTTCATCAATTTAAATACATATTAATAGTACTTGCCTCACCATACATTTTTATAATTGGACAATGCTTATTTATTTTGTTTATCCAGGTATGTTTTATTCTTTCATTGAACCAATTATAAAATAAAAACCCATGAACAAAAAATTCATTCTACCTTCTTGACATCTGTCTATAGAATTACTGGAAACAGAGGGAAGTAACTTCTGTGATGGACCTCAGAGTTCCAGACATGTATTCACCGTAAGTGACTCATACTCCACCAGTGCTCATCATCGATCCAGGATTGACCCTCTTTTTCTCCATTCATTTCTATGTCTTTAGATTCATTTATTAATTCACTAATAATAATTTTAAACTCTGTGATTCACGAAACACTAAGAACCCACACTTGATATTCTCTATCTTTATACAGGATCATTCTAACATAGACACGCCTGTTTAGTTCTTCTCAGTCTTTCATATATGCATTATCAATAAATATTTCGTATCACTCCTATAAATATCACTGGGACGTAGATGGCCATCGTTGACTGTATTACACACTTTTTCATGACGCACTGAGGCCTCGTTAGCACACCACAGAAACCAACACAGGAATTTTGACTATTACTCACATTGGTCTGCACACTCCTTTCCAAGCATGATGTATAAACGGGGTGCGTGATCATGGAGGAATCCTCAATACAGCACAAGCTGTTCATTCTGAGGAATACAGGCCAGAGAAGATAATAACAAAACTGAAACATTTTTAATATTGACATTTGCTTTCCGCCTATCAATAGTCATTCATGCAATCATTATTTGGAATATATTTAATTTATTTTCTGAAAATAAAATGAATAATTTTGAAATTGCCACTGACCCAGAAGCTGGGTGTTACCTATACTTTATTCGGTCATTACCGTCATTAGTCAAAGAAGCCACAGGAATGTGCCTTTATTTCTCTGTGGATGTCACTGTTTCATATACATTAATCATGTTTCTTATCTTGTCCTTAGTTTTATAATTGGACAATGCTTGAATTTATTCATCTTTATTTATTTGTGTTTGTTTACTAATTCTCACATGGATCAATTATAAAAATAGAATCAAAACATGTAAATATGAATACTAACAACATATATATTCTAAATTCCTGACAGCTGTCTGTAAAATAATTTCAAACATACAGAGTAGGTTAGATTTTGTTTGTGATGGACCTCAGAGTTCTAGACACGTATTCATCGTATAAGACTCATACGCCACCAGTAGTCATCATCGATCCAGGACTGACCTCTATATGTGGATTTATTTCTACCTTGTCTGTTGGCTAATTTGTTAATTCACTAATCATAATTTTAAGCCCTATGATTTACAAAACCACAAGAAGAGCATGGTATTCCTAATGTGTAGGAATATTTATTTCATTAATTATCCGCAGTTTCTCATGTATGCGTCTTCAATATAATCCTGACATCATGCCCATGTTTATTTGAATACAGTTGCTCATCTTTGAGTATGATATACTTCTTTTATAACACATTGAACTTTCTTGAACAAACCACCCAAAGCAAGGTGAGGACTTCCAGGCTCCATCCTAAAAATGGTGCAAGTAGAGCACATGACCTTGGAGGAATCCTTAAATCCACAAAATGCAACCGTTCTAGGGAATGCAGAGCAGAGAAGAGGGTAACAAAAACGGGATATTGTCACTACTGACCCTTTCTTATCACCTACCATTACTTAGTCATTTTGGCAATCATTATTTGCAGTATATTCATTTTATCTAAAAAAAAAAATGAACAATTCTGAAATTTCCATTGGCCCAGAAACAGAATGTTGTCTATACTTTGTAGAGTCTATACCACCATTAGCCACAGAGGTCACTGGAAGATACCATTTATATCTCTGTGGACTTCGTTGTGTCAAAAGATATTGAGAGTGCTTCTGGGTGGGTATGGTGGCTCATGCCTGTAATCCTAGCACTTTGGGAGGCCAAGGTGGGTGGATCACTTGAGGTCAGGAGTTCAAGACCAGCCTGGCCAACGTGGTGAAACCCCATCTCTACTAAAAATACAAAAATTTGCCAGATGCGGTGGCGTGTGCCTGTAATCCCAGCTACTCAGGAGGCTGAGGCAGGAGAACCGCTTGAACCTGGGAGGATGAGGTTGCAGTGAGCCAACATCATGCCACTACACTCCAGCCTGAGCAACAGAACAAGACTCTATCTCAAAAAAAAAACAAAGAGTGATTCTTGCCTTATCAGATATTGTTACACTTGGCCAATGCTTCAACTTTTTCAGCTATGTCTATATGTGTTTATTGAACCTGGCATTGACCAGTTATAAAAACAGAATGAAAATACATAAACACAAAAGCCAAAAAATTATGTTCTATATTTCTGAACTCTGTCTACAGGATAGGCTAGATTTCTTCTGTGACAAATCTCAGAGTTGCATACATGTATTCATCGTATATGACTCATATGCCACCAGTAGTCATCATTGATCCAGAATTGATCATCTGTTTTTTTCATTTAATTCTGCCTCATTTACTGATTAATTCATTAATTCACTATTAATAATTTTTAAGCTCTATGATTTACAAAACCCTATGGAGACCTGTATACATATAACTAATATGTATATATTAATATACAATATATTTACATAATACAACATAATACAATATATTAATATTATACTAATATATTAATAGAATATCCTGCTTCTCCAGATATTTTTATAATTCAACTATGAGCCATTTTTCTCATTTATTGTATTCATACTCTCATTGATCCAATTATAAAAATAGAATAAAAATACATAACCACCAAGAAAAATAAGTACATTCTGTATTCTGAAATCTGTCTACAACATCATTTTGAACAGAAGGAATGCATGCATTTCCACTTTGACGGACCTCAGAGCTCCAGACACATACCACTGTCTATGACCTATACGCCACCAGTAGTCATCAGCAATCCAGGACTGGTCTTCCTTTCCTCCATTCATTCCTATATTTTTGTGATTGATTTATTAATTCACTGATAATAACATTAAAGCTTCTGATTCAAAGAGCTCTAAGAAGAGCCTTGATATTCCCAATCTGTACATGGAATCCTTCTGATATTGATATATCTGTTTCATTATCCTCAATTTTTCATATATGAGTTATCAGTATGATGCTTCATATCACTCCAATATCTACCACTTACATACAGTTGACCATTTTGATTATATTATAGGCTTTTTGGTAATATCCCTAGTCCTCTTAAACCATTCAAACAAAATAAGAATGTTGATTACAACTCCCATTGGTCTGCAGGCTCCCAACCATGATAAAAACAGAGCATGTGACCATGGAGGAATTCTCAAATCATAACAAGCACATCCATTCTGAAAGAATAGAAAGCAGAGAAGATAACAAAATTGAGACACTCTCAGTATTGATCCTTGATTTTCACCTGTTATTAGTCATTTTGGCAATCATTATTTGGAGTATATTTGCTTTATTTATTTTCTTTTAATAAAATAAATAACTTCAAAATTACCACTAACTCCGAATATGAACATTGTCTATAATTTATACCATTTATATCATACACCATTTATTTCTTTTTAGGCTTCACTGATTTTAACGTATGTTTTTTTTTTTTTTTTTTTTTTTTTTTTTTTTTTTTTTTTTTTTTTTTTTTTTTTTTTTGAGATGGAGTTTTGCTCTTGTTACCCAGGCTGGAGTGCAATGGCGCGATCTCGGCTCACCGCAACCTCCGCCTCCTGGGTTCAGGCAATTCTCCTGCCTCAGCCTCCTGAGTCGCTGGGATTACAGGCACGCGCCACCATGCCCAGCTAATTTTTTGTATTTTTAGTAAAGACGGGGTTTCACCATGTTGACCAGGATGGTCTCGATCTCTTGACCTCGTGATCCACCCGCCTCGGCCTCCCACAGTGCTGGGATTACAGGCTTGAGCCACCGCCCCCGGCCGATTTTAACATATGTTAATAGCTCTTCTTGCCTTACAAGTTTTTATACTTGAGCAGTGTTTCAATCATTTTTTATTTATTATATATTTGTTTCCTGATTCTCACATTGATCCAATTATAAAAATAGAAGAAAAGCACATAATCACACAGAGAAAAAGCACATTCTGTATTTTTTTAATCTGCCTATAACATCATTTGAAACAGAGAATAAGGCAGATTTTACCTGTGACGGACCTCAGAGTTCCAGACACGTATTCATCATGTGTGACTCATACGCCACCGGTAGTCATCATCGATCCAGAATGTGTCCTGTTTTTCTCTGTAGACTTTTACCTTGTCTATTGATTAATTCATTAAATCGCAAATAATAATTTTAAAACTTTTGGCTCACAAATACCTCAGAACAGCATTAACATTTACGTTCTTTATCTGCATATAGAATCATTCTCACATTGGCCAATGCTTCATTAACTATCCTCAGTTTTTCAAATACATGTTGTCAATGTAATGCTTCATGCTACTCCCATTTCTCTCACTGGGCTGCAGCTGGCCATTTTTGATTGAACAGACCTTCTAATAATACATCAAGTCCTCCAAACTAAGACCAGAACTTGATTACTCACATTGGTCTGCATGCTCCCAATCAAGAGGCAGCCACAGCATGTCACCAGGGAAGAACGCTTCAATCAGCACAAGCCATTCATTCTGAGGAATACAGAGCAGAGACGGTAACAAAACCGAGACATTCTCACTAATAAAGATCCTTGCTTTTCACCTTTCCTTTAGTCTATCCTTTAAGCATTCATTAGGTGAACTAATATTTATTTCATTTTCCCCTAAGAAAAAGAACAATTTGATCTAGCAAGTGAATAAGAATTTGAACATTATCTAATACTTATTCTGTCTATATTACTATAAGCCAAAGAGGTAACAGGTATGTACAATATCTCTTTGGACCTCACCAATTTCAATATGCATTCATAGTATTTATTGCCTCACCACATATTTTTATAGCTATAAAATGCTCACCCATTTTTTATGTTTATTGATTCTTGAATTAGAATGAAAATAAAACCAAAACGACTTCATTCTATCTTCCTGACATCGGTCTACAGAATCACGTGTAACAGAGGGAATGGACTAGGTCTCTTTTGTGATGGATCTCAGAGTTCCAGACACGTACTTATCACGGATGACTCATACGCCACCGGTGGTCATCATTGATCCAGAACTGGCCTTCCTTTTCTCCATTCAGTTTTACCTTGTCCAGTGGTTGCTTCATTAATTCACTAATTATAATTTCAAAGCCTATGATTCAAAAAACTCCAAGCGCAGACTTGGTATTTCTGATCTGTACTTTATCCTCAGTTTTTCATACATGCATTATCAATATAATACTTCATGTCACTCCCATGTCTACCATTGGGATAACTCTGGCCATCTCTGACCATATTTCACACTTTTTAATAATATATTGATTATTCTTAAACAAACCACCCAAACCACAATGAGGATTTTGACCATTACTCACATTGGTCCACATGCTCCTTCCTAAGCATGGTGCAAACAGAGCATGTGACCATAGCGGAATTCTCAAGACAGAACAAGGACATCCATTCTAAGGGGTACAGAGCAGAGAAGATGACAACAAATTTGAGACATTGTCACCATTGATCCTTCCTTTTTACATTTCTTTAGTCATTTAGGCTACCACTATTTAGAGTACAGCATATTTATTTCACTTTCTCTTAAGAAGATGAGCAATTCTGAATTTGCCACTGACCCAGAACATGAACACTGTCTACAGTGTTCATATATCCTCTCTATATCATTATTAGCCAAAGAAGTGACAGACACGTACCATTTAATTCTCTTTGAACTTCACTATTTCCAATACATATTAATAGTATTTCTTGCCTCACCACCTATTTTTATAATTGGGCAACACTTCACCTAATATATCTTTATTTCTGTTTATATTTATCGATTCTCACATAAACCCAATAATAAAAATAGAATAAAAATGTATGAGTACAAAGACCAAAAACAAACCCACTCTATGTTCGTGATATCCGCCTAAAGAATTGTATCAAACAGGAAATGGGGTAGATTTCTTTTGTGATGCACCTCAGAGTTCCAGACACATATTCACTGCAGATGACTCATATGCCACCAGTAGTCATCGTCGTTCACAGGACAGGTGCTCTTTCTCTCCATCCACTTCTAATTGCTTATTAATGATTCAGTGATCCACTAATCATAAATTTTAAAATCATGGTTCATGAAATCCCAACAAGAGCCTAGAGATTCCTAATCCCTACAATGAGTCATTCTAATGTGGATATAGCTGTTTCATTCATTATCCTCAGTTTTCATAGATGCATTATCAATATAATGCTTCACACGACTCCCATATTTATTGCTAGAACATCACTGGCCATCTTTGATTATATTATACCTTTTTTAGTAATTCATTGGATATTTTGAAATAACCACTCAAACCAAGAGAAGAATTTTAATGATTACTCTATGCTACTAACAAATAGACGCAACCGTAGAACAAACGATAAAGGAGGAATATTCCAATCGGCTCAAGTGCACCAATTCTAATGAAGACAAAACAGAGTCAGTATTTTTAAAAGCAGACACCTCATCCTCTATAATTCTTGCTTTCTGCATTTCATTTACTCAATCATTCGGGTAATTCATAATTTTCCATGAAGTACATGTTTTTTCTCTTAACAAAAGGGACAACTTCAAACTTAGAAGAATTGGTTCAGAACAATAAAATTGATCCTATTAGTGTCTATATGATCTTAAGCCAAAGAAAGAGGGAACATCTTTGATCTGATATTTTCTTAATGGATGTTAGCTTTCTCTACTTGTATTAATAATGTTGATTGCCTCCCTATATATTTTTACAGCTGCACAATGCTGCACTCTCTTCAATTTTATTTATTGACTTATATTTGTTTAATGGTTCTATCATTAATTCCTTAATACTAAGAAATCTAAATCTAAGAATCTAAAATAAGAACATGGTCTTTATGTACCCCAAACATCTGTCTGTAGGATTATTCAGAACAGAAGGAATAGACTATGTTTTGTGCTGATGCTCAGAGTCCCACACATACATTACTCCTGGTTCATGACTCCTGCGCCACTATTTGTAATCATTGTTCTATGCATACTCATTGGCCAACTTTTTCTTCATTCAATCTTACATTTGCAGATGCTGAATCATGGATTCACTGAAAATGAGTGAGTCAGAAAAATGTGAAAAATAAATGCTAGAATAGTGCTCACAGCTATCAATACAACCATTTCCTATATACATCTTTTTCATTTAATGATGTCAACATTAATGATTAATCAGCATCATATTTCACATTATTATTGAGCCATAAACAGCTATTTGATTAATAATTTTTCAATAATACCACGAATACTGTCAAACAACTGAAACCAAGACAAGAACATTGACTATATTCACACGGGTCTCTTTTTGAACGGAGTTAACGTGAGAAACTTGATCAATTGCAGAGTGCTCAAATCAGCAAACAGCATCTTCACTGAAGGGTTCTAGGTGGAGATCATGATAAAAAGTTTGAGATATTCTGTCCATTCATCTGTAATTTCTTTCATTCAGCTAGTCACTTAGGTATTTATTAATTTATGTAATATTGATTTATTTTTCTTCTTATAAACTTCAAACTTGTAATTGACTTGGGGCAGTCATTGGCTCTTATGAGTAATTATTACTATTGTCTCTATCATTTTGAGTCAGAAATATTATCCACTTATTATCCATTCCAATGTACACTAACAGTATTTTCCTTACTGCATATTTTAGCAATGAACAATGCTTTGTCCTCTTCGTTTTATTTATTTTATTTGCACATTTATTTGCTTATTCTGCCAGTGCTACTTTTACCATATCTTTAAAACTCATACATACAAGACTAACCACAAACTCCTTGTATATTTCAGGTATCTGTCTATCATATCACTTTAAACATGGGAATAGACTAGACTCTATTTGTGTTGGACCTCAAAGTTTCTGATACGTACTATTCCTCATATACAACCAGCATATACAACCACATAAGCCACCAGTTGTCACTGATGGTTCAGGATTGGCCTTCTTTGTCTTCATTCTTTTTTTTTTTTTTTGGGGGGGGGACGGAGTTTCGCTCTTGTTACCCAGGCTGGAGTGCAATGGCACGATCTCGGCTCACCGCAACCTCCACCTCCTGGGTTCAGGCAATTCTCCT